ACTAGGCTGAAAGCCAAAAGTAACATTTGTTAGCTAAATCTACACATAATGATTTAGAAGGTTTTGATGTAATAGGATGAAAAGAGAGTTACTAATACTAGGTAAACGCTAATCAGAAGAAAGCTGTTTAGATACTAAGGCAAAAGCATTGCTAGAGTTTAAGAAAGTCACAACATAATAAGTTTACCAGGCAGATATAATAATTATAAACTGGGTTGCATATTACGACACAGCCCCAAACTATATAAAGCAAAAATTGAAAGAACTTCAAATTGAGATAGACAAATCCACCGTCACATTAGGAGATTTCAAGTCATCTCGTCCATTAATTGAATTGTGTCAGGCAGATGCAAATCCAGTTAAGAGGAGATGTCAACAACACAATCATAATATTTGATCAAGGACATATTTTTATTTTTATTTAGTTATATTTTGGCTGTTTCGCATCGCGCGGCTTGTGGGATCTTAGTTCCATCGACCAGAGATTGAACCTGGGCCCACAGCAGTGAAAGTGCTGGGTCCTAACCACTGGACCACCTGGGAATTCCCAAGGACATATTTTTATATATGTTCTTTACAAACACACACAGAAAACTAAAATAAGCTCAAAACATTTTAAGATTATTAGCTTATAAACTATGTTCTTTGACCACATGCAGACTATGTCCTTTGATAACTATAGTCCTGAAATAGGTTAACATCAATCATCAAGTAGGAAATATTACTGCTGAAATATGATCTTGGGAAGATCGAATACCAATTTGAAGACTTGCCCTTTGTAGAGTTCTCTACCACTCATGTCAGAAGTTCTAAAACTGCTAAACTTATACCATGGGTTTCAATAAACATCTCACCAAGATAATTGTATACAAAATTCTTTTTCAGTAATTTTAAACAAATCATGCAAATTGTGTCCATCTGTTTCTATCCCTTTTACCTCAGTAATATCTGAATAGATGAATAAACCTCTTCATCATGGTCAGCCTAAAAGCCAGTTTAAAAAGATTTGTGTGTGCATATGTAGTATTTCCTCTTCATATACTTAAAGTAAATTTAAAAAAATTATATTGTGGAGGGGTATGACTGTCACTTAAATCTCAACAAATGGTTGGAGAAAACAGTTGTATTAATAGTTCCTCACTACAAATTAAAAACTCCTGATGCAGGCACCCCAGGTAGGGTTCCTTTCTTTGGAGAATAATTAAATATAATGAAAGTAGAAGTCTGAGAAATTTAGTGACACTTGGAGCAGAAGTGGTTTTTGAGTTTACAGACTTTTTTCCAAGGCTTTGGACTATGGTAACTTCTTATGTAGAAAAGAGTTTTATTTGGGAAAAAAATTATGTGGTGTATGTTGCCTCATTGTGAAACTGAAATCCACAGAATGATTTCTCAAAAGAGTACACAATTAGTAGCACTTTTAAATTTGAACATCATATCATTCATGTGATACACAAGTAGTAATTCCCATTTTACAAATGTAGGAACCGAGAAACTGAAGTGTCTCACCCCAAGTCAAGCTATGACAACACATTATGCTAAGATATAACTTTTTTGTTTCCCCATTATGTCCTGTCCTCATTTTAAACTATCGGGTCTGACTATGCAATATATCTTGTTCTGTTGACCAAGTAACAGCCTATCTTTGGTAAGAACGTTTGAGATCGGTATAACTGAGTTAAATTTTAGGTTCTTGATTCTAAATTCTTTATTTAATTCCCAAGACTTCCTGTTTAACTTGTATGTCTCATGACTCACACTCTATACATACCACATTTGGTTTCCTCTCATCCTATTACCTTTTACATGAATAAAGTCTGAAGCAACCCCTATTTGGATGAAAAACACTGAAGCCATGTGTCAAGGGTGGTAACGTGTGGGAGAAGGCTTCTCGGGAAGGTCTCTGCGTTAACAGCCCAGCCCCGGACGGCCTTTCGCACGTCCATCCTAAGACTACTTCTAGCTCTGTTCTCACCCCAGGGAGAGAGGTGGTATAGGGTAGACCTGGTCTGAAATCCAGCTTGGCCATCATCCCGGGGTTGGTTTGGCCCGCTTCTTCATCTATGAGATGCTGGTGAAAGTGTCTGTCACGTAGAGTGACCGCAACTGCTGGGACGGTGCATACCAGCTGCTCCCACGTACCCCAGGGCTCTGAACACTGCAGCTCTTCGTACAAGCCCCTCTGCCCTCGGGCCGCCGTCCAGCCCTGACCTCCCTGGCTGCCCTTTCACGAGGCCTGTCCCTTCGTGGGTGTGTCCCCAGGTGAGTGCTTGGCCGTGCGGCGGCCTGTGGTGGGGGAGGTCTGTGTCCCTGATGTGCAAGCAAGTGGAGCATTGTTATTTGGCTGCTTGGCAGGGCTCTTGAGCAGGTGCACGTCCTAACCTTCCCGACTCCAGAGGGGGCGGCTCTGGATTCGGAGGTAACCAGGCCCAGCTGGAGCTGAGCGGCACCTGAAGCTCCGTCCGGGTTTGCAGCCTGACAGCAATGAAACGCACCAGCCTACGCAGGGTCGAGCAAACACGGGCAGTTGGTGCTCCGGGCGCACGCGGGGTGGAGCACAGGGCGAGTCCAGGTGCTTCGTCAGGTTCTTTGCTTTCCGCGGGCTGCATCCCTGACGCCCCGAGCCTGGGCCGGCCCCGGGGAGGCAGCCGGCCGGTCCGGCGCTCAGGACGCGGGTCACTTGCGGTCTGGCCGCACAGCGGCCCGCGGGCCACCGGGCAGGGCCCCTAGGGGGGCCCCCAGAACCCGCCCACGGCCCGGCCCCCCCGCCCCCCCGCGGGGGCCGGCGGGCCGTGCGGCCCAGG